TTCTTGCTAATACGTTTGAGTTCTCTGTGGATTCTGGTTATTAAACCTTTGTCGGAGACATAACCAGCAAATATCTTCTCCCATTCTGAGGGCTGTCTACTTGCTTTACTTACTGTGCTTTTGGCTATGCAGAAGCTTTTTAATTTGATCAGGTCCCAGTAGTGTATTTTTGATACTTCCTCACATTTTTGAAATTTATACTGTCTTTAAATGACTCAGGCTAATAAAATTACTAAGCAAGTCCACTTTTTTTTTTTTTTTTTTTTGAGGCAGAATCTTATTCTGTTGCCCCAGGTTCGAGTGCTGTGGTCTCAGCCTAGCTCATAACAACCTTAAACTCCTGGGTTCAAGTGATCCTTCTATGTCAGTCCCCTGAGTAGCTGGGACTACAGGTGCTCACCACAATGCCTGACAAGTTTTCTATTTTTTTTGTAGAGACAGGGTCTCTCTCTTCCTCATGCTAGTCTTAAACTCCTGAGCTTAAGCAGTCCTCCTGCCTCAGCCTTCCTAAGTACTGGGATTACAGGCATGAACCACTGCAGCTGGCCTAAGCAAGGACACTCTTACATGTAGCAAAAAAAACCTAGGAAGGGTTTTCTGGAAGTGATTTCTGGAAGGCCAGATTCTGATATGCCAACCTAAGTAATTCTACCAGTAGGACTTTCATCTTTGATCTTAAATTAAATGTTATCTGTCTGATAGATGCAACTTCCCTGAAAGGGGTAACGCTTGAAGCAGCCATTTATAGCCTCCAGTGAATAAGTTACAAACCCTTGCCTGAATACCAAATTAGGGGGAGAAAAAGTTGTAGGGGAGGGGGGTAAATGGGAGAGGGTATGAAAATGAAGAGGAAGGTGCTAGAAGCCTAGACAGACAAGGACAAATAGACCTGAACAGTTGCTTGTGAAATTCTTAGAATTGTCAAGGATTTGCTTCAGTATTTAGAGTTTAGGCATTTATATGACGTGATCCCAAATGGAACCTTCTGCATCTATGACGCAAAGTTAATTAAGGCGCTTGGTAAATAAAGGCATGTGGTCAATGAAGATCTTATCTTAGTAGAGGGCTGTACTGCTTATAAAATTTATTTATAACACATTAAAAAATATGTTCCCTTATTTAACCCATTAACTACCATGTGAGTTGTATTTAAATTATGCTGTTTTTGGCCCAGGGCCTTCACAAAACATATATAACTCACATTTCTTGACTAACCTTGACCTAATATATAAAACACTGTAGCCCCTAGGAAAGAAAATTTTTTTCCTAGTGTGGCAAATTCTCAGAACAATTTGATGCAGGGTAGAAGCCACTAAAATGGCAAAAACAATACTTAATGATGAAAAATGATTTAATGATATATTCATTAGTGAAAAAATAGTATGTAGACTGTGATTTTATTTCTTATAAAAATACTTGTACGTTATGTATATATAAACAAAAAGAAAGAGGTGATTGATTATTCCTGGGTGGTAGATAGGATTTTATACTTCCTTCTTTTTGTGTATATACATTTTCTAACTTTTTAAATGATGGATGTGTGTTACTTGTGTGCTATGGTAAAAGGCTGAACTCTAACAGGCATGCGTGCCTCTTATGACTCATGGCTTTTAGGGCCTTCCCTACAGGAATCCTGTTCTTGATTCTCAGACCTGTGTAGACAGAGGCATTCCAAGTGATCTCCCTTGAATGTTTACCCAACAGTTACTTGGGAAAGGAAGAAGAAATAACATTTGACCAACGTCTATGTTACTGGAAACATCACCTTTACTTTGTCGTCATCCTCACAGTATTCCTGCCAAGTTTATTTTATATCCTCACTTAACTGATCATAACATTGAAGTTCCAAAGGTCAACTTAATTGGCAGAGATTATGTGCAAGTGTCAAAAGTAGGCGGTAAGGACTGGGAAGAACTCAGGTGTATTTAGCTCCAAAGTCTAAGCACTTTCCATTCTGCCGTATGGTCCCCCACCTCCTGGCAGGCCACCATCCTTCATTCGCTGGGACGCACTTATGCCGGCCTCTCCAGATGAATCTGTCACAGCCCCTTCCTTCAGCTCGCCCTCAAGCTTCTTTTCCTGGGTGTCCTTGTTGCTCTCATGCCTCTGTCTTTCTTGAGCGCCACATCAACTCAGCCCATTAGCATCACTATTATCTCCAAAGCATTGGTTTATAACCCTATTTTGGATCCTGGACTCACTAGCAAATGTCATGAAGCTCTCCTTAGAAAATGCACTTTGCAAATGTCAATAGAGATATAGATACATATTCTGGGCATGCTATTTCATAGTATTTATAGATTCTCCCACTCAAGGTCCTTACATTAAAAATCCTGCTGTGAAACTTTAAATGCACCTTGCAGCTGCTCAGACCAAGTGTGTGATAATCATTATTTACACTGATTGCCTGTGATCCAATGTATTTGCTCTCTGAGGTAACAAAATGCCCTTTTTTTGATATAGAGTCTCACTCTGTCATTCTTGGTAGAGTGCCATGGCGTCATAGCTCATAGCAACCTCAAACTCTTGGGCTTAAGTGATCCTCCTGCCTCAGCCTCCCAAGTAATTGGGACCACAGGCATTGGCCACAATACCTGGCTAGTTTTTCTAGCAGAGCCGAGTCTCGCTTTTGCTCAAGCTGGTGTTGAACTCCTGAGCTCAGGTGATCTACCTGCCTTGGCCTCCCAGAATGCTAAGATTATAGGTATGAGCCACCGCAACTGGCCAAGGAAATGCCCTTTTTACTGTTTAATAATGCATTGTTAATGGGCTCCAGGGAAATATGCAAAATAAGAGATCTGAAGAATGATTGAATGCTTGTATATAATACTTAATTGGTACTGAAAGCTTTTTTAAAAATAAAACACTTAATATTCACGAAGGGACTAACTCATGATAATATAGTGCATGACCTATTTCCGTGGTAGATTGTTCAATGGTGATTATTTTAACAAGAATATTTTTGTTTGTTTTCTTCCTTCAGAAATAAATGCTAAGGGAGTCATCCTCAATGCATTTGAACGCTATCGCCTAAAAACATGTATTGACTTCAAGCCTTGGACTGGAGAAGCTAACTATATATCAGTGATCAAGGGCAGTGGGTGAGTTGAAGAGTTGGTCTTTTCTGGGAAGTGCAGGGGACAGAGTCGTGCTCTGTTGTAAGGGTAGGGATGTCATCATAGCTCACCATCACCTGCCTCTCCTGGGCTCAAGCGATCCTTCTGCCTCAGCCTCTGGTGTGGCTGGGTCTACAGGCTCCCGCTATTATGCCTGGCTAATTTTTCTTTTTTGTAGAGTTAAGGTCTCCCTGTGTTGCCCAGGCTGGCCTTGAACTCTTGCCCTCAAGAAATTCTCCTGGCCTCAGCCTCCCAAAGTGCTGGGATTGCAGGTGTGAACCACCAGGCCAGGATGAAGAGTTAGTCTCTCTAAAGTTTCTGAGGAGAACTCTTGTGCCTGGGTCATTACCTCACAGCAATTGTCTTAGGCCTGACTTTTAGGCTGGGGTTGGAGCTTTCCTTTATTGGTTGCTAGAGAATAAAGGAGCCAGATCTAGTTTTTTTGTAGCTAAAGAAATATTTCCATATATGTGACCAGGCTACCTATGCTAAGGCAAGGTAGGTGGGATTGCATGCCATCTAGCCCACAACTGTATGAATTTCAGCATTTGTAATTTACTCTTTATTTTCCCCTTCAAGTAAAACATGTGCATATGTATGTGCACGTCTATATTTAAATTTATTTTAACCTAAACACTTTTATTTCTTGAGTTAAGAATTACTCATCCTGAGCTCAGCAGTTCTGAGCAGTTGCGGTCCTGGTAAAGCCCTTGCTAATGGGTACAGGCATACTAAGCATGATCTCAAATGCTTAGAAACTCCCAGAAAAAACCAGGACTAGGCTGACTGGGGGATGACTTGCTCTATGCAATATTTGGTGTTAGAGCAAGTTTCCAAAGATCATCTGATCTGTCAGGTTTTCATACGTCACCTGGCTTAGGAAGGAAATGCACAGAGTCCAGATAAAACAGCAAAGGATCTAGGTGGGTAACGAAGTGGACTGGGTGGTGGGATTTTGCCCTGTGGCTTCAAACCACATCTTTGTAACATCCTCTCCCCTACCCCCGTCATCTCCTCTATAAGCTGCTGGTCTTCAGTAGGAAATAGGCATGTTGGGAGGCAAGAACTTTCCATCGGAGCGAACTGTGACCGAATAGCAACAGTTCAGCACGAGTTCCTCCATGCGCTGGGATTCTGGCACGAGCAGTCACGTTCTGATCGCGATGACTACGTCAGCATAGTGTGGGACAGAATTCAGTCAGGTACATTTCTGTTACATTTTTAGTTAAAGATTTCATTTCTAAGTATGCTTCCTCTTTTGCCTTCTGTGCCAACTGTTAATAATTGAAAAACTCTGGGGTTTTGATGACTTACACTTCATTTAGCTTGAACTCAATCTGAATTGAAGTGCCTTATGGCTGTTGGGCACTAGTGTCCCAGAACCCCGGTGCTTTTGAGCTGGATATGCTCTTAGAAACTGGTTTTGTGTTTCCTGAAGCATGTCCTATGGAGTGCTGTCCGACAGAGTGCTCACAGGTGTTAGGTGGAAAAAGGAGTCTGTGGTCAAATTAGTTCAGGGAAATCCAAGTCTTAGTTCATCTTGTGCTGCTATAACAGAATACCACAGAGAAAATTATGTCTTAGAATTCTGGAGGCTGGGAAGTCCAAGATCAAGAGGCTGGCACGTGGTGACTGACAGCTTTGTTGTTGTATCACATCCCAAGGCAGAGGGCAGAGGGAGCGAGGGGGAGAGAGAGAGAACCAAACTCTTTCTTTTATAAGAAACCCACACTCTTGGCAATGGCAAACTCACCTCCACAACAATGGCACTAATCAATCCCTAAAAGCAGAGCCCTGGCAGCCTAATTACCTCTCATTAGGTCCCTCCTCCCAACACTGGTGCACTGGGGACTAAGTTTCCAACCCGTGCTTTCTGGGGGACACATTCAAACCATGGTACTTATGCCAATAAAATAAAACGTACAGTTATTTATACTGCTGTACTGTTCCGAGTTTTTGTTAGGTTGACACGAATTATAAATCTCCAAGAAGAGGACTATTTCCCAAGTGATTTGATCATGGTCTTTTTCTAGCTTGTGGTGTACTTTGATTTATTTTTTTATGGGACCCATTGGGGGAAACACTGTAGCGTTCGAACAGCCTGAACTTTTTCTTATTTTGTGTTCCAAGTTACAAACCGTGTCTGACTGGAGTTCATGTTTCCTACACTCGACAGTGACACTTAGCTTCTCTGTGTGTCCTGCCTGTGTGGGCTGTGGCACAGGGAATGGTATTGCTATTATGTGGGAGGGGCTGTGAGGACTGCTCTGGAAGGTCGGTCTCTAAGTCACAGCACTTGTTCTTTATCTCCCAGTGATCTTAACTGGGATCGGGGCAGCAACAAACTAGAAGATTTTGAGGGCAAAAGGAGTATTTAGCTTTAATTCATGGCTTCATTCTTCAGGATTCCCCAAATGTTATTTTTATTTTTTATATTTTTGACAATGTTGAAAGACACAAAACTGAAGTCATATTTAAGAAAAACCAACCAACCAATCAATTTATTTAGTTATTTAAAGATAGGGTCTTACTTTGTCACCCAGGCTAGAGTTGCAGCAGCCTGATCGTAGCTCACTGCAAGCTTGAATGTCTGGGCTCAAGCAATTCTCCTGCCTCAGCCTCCTCAGTAGCTGGAACTTTAGATGTGTGCCACCACATCTGGCTAGTTTTTTTTGTTTGTTTGTTTTTAACATTTGTGGAGTCGAGTGTTACTATTTTGGCAGGCTGCCTAGAATTCCTGTCTTCAAGCAATCCTTCTGCCTCAGCCTCCTGGGATTATAGGCATGAGCCCTGACACCTAGCCCAAAGTTTTATTTTAGCTAGAAATTTCTGATTTGATAACACATCTTTATGCTTTAAAGATCAGGCCCAGCTCAGTGTGTCCGCAAAACCATTCAATTTCAAGTTGTGATCAGTTGTTCATTACAGTGACGCTAAGCAGCCTGACATATTCTCTAAATGTATCCATTGTTATTATTATGTTTAATTAACAAATTATAATTGTGTATATCATGGGTGCATTGTAATGTTTCGGTATGTTTATACAATGTGGAATGATTAAAATAAGCTAATTAAAATATTCATCATCTTGCTTATTTTTTGTGGTGAGACATTTAAGATTTATTCTCATAGGAATTTTGAAATGCAGTGGACCTCCATAGTTGACCACCTCTTTGAGTCAATCTCATTTTCATAGACTGGACCAGCACCACATGTACGTATTAGTACAGTAGGCCTGGTCTCTTATGTTGACCTCCTGCATTTATTGACCAGCTTGTTGCAGTCCCCTGGGTTGTCAACTGACAGAACTTATAGTGTATATATCATGAACTAAAGTCACCACGCTTTAAATACATCTACACATATTCCAGTAACCATGAAGTGCCTTTCTGATGACTCCTTTCTGGGATAACTAGAAAGTTACACTCCCAAGTCCCATCTCACCAGCTGTCCTAAGGTCCATCTCCATCTGCTCTAGATGCCACAGAACTTCTATCACTGCTGGTCAATGCCCCGACTGGTTTGACAACACTTCTGAGAACCCTCCTTTCCATTAGCAGTTCTTAGAACCTGAGACCAAATACCAATCTTTCTACTTTGGGCTGCAATGAAACCTTTGATCTGTTCCATGTGACTGCTGGTATCACAATTCTAAATGTGAATATTATATTTTAAGGTAGAAATAATGAAACACTTGAAATACAGCAGGTCAGTTGTAGCAAAAGTTGGTCCAGTTTGTTATGTTCTCCATTTCTGAGATACAGCCTATGGAGTAAGATAAGCTGAATTTTGTGAACGTCAAGTAATTAGAGATTTTTAATTTATCCTTTAGGCAGAGAGCACAATTTTAACACCTATAGTGACCAACTATCAGATTCCCTGAATGTTCCCTATGATTACACTTCCGTAATGCACTACAGTAAAACAGCGTTCCAGAATGGGACAGAGCCCACCATTGTGACGAGAATCTCAGATTTTGAGGATGTGATCGGCCAACGAATGGATTTCAGTGACTATGATCTCTTAAAGTTGAACCGGCTGTATAACTGCTGTATGTAACAAGTTCTTCGAAATTGCTCGTATTTCTCTCCTCTGTGTAGGAAAAAGTGATAGTCTGCGCTATTTTATTAAGCATTGTTGAAGTTTCTGAGATTACAGAAATTTAATATTCGGAGGAAAAACAGCAGAGTAGCACCCAGAGCCCAATCTGAAACTTGGAAGCAGCATTTTTTTTTCCTTCCACAAGGCCCATCTCAGAGATCTAAAAAAAATTTGAGTCCTGTAGGAATATGCCCCAGGCAGGTTTTGAAGCTGTTAATAATTCAAATGTAGACCAGCGTGATCAAGTATTTTTTCTGCTAAAATGAGGTGTACACTTACTTTTTGCTTATTTTTTGTGGTGAGATATTTAAGATTTATTCTTAAACATGGGATCTAACCATCTGGTTTGTGGCTTAATGATTTGAATAACTAGGGGAGTGTAGACTCAGGTTTTTATAAATTAGATAATTAGGAAGAAAATTAGGGGTTCCGCAGATAAAGAGGGGTCTTTAAGCCACCATCACCCAGAATCAGCTAAGTGTTCCATTTAACGCCATTTAGGCCTTCCTAATACTTCTGTGATAAGCTCAGTTTTTATTACTCACGTTATCATGTTGTACAAATGTCAGTAACTGATTTTTTGCTTTTGCAGCCTCTTCGTTGAGTTTTATGGACTCGTGCAATTTTGAACTGGAAAATGTGTGTGGTATGATCCAAAGTTCAGGAGATAGTGCTGACTGGCAACGGGTTTCACAGATTCCCAGCGGGCCAGACAGCGATCACTCCAACATGGGCCAGTGTGAAGGTAACAGGAGTGAGATTCTTCTAGATTACTCATTCCGTGGCTCTGACTTTGTCTTTCTCTATGAAAGTCTGGGATTTTACCTCTAATCTCCACCACAATGACTAGTGATAATTCATTAGGTTGCTACTTAGGAATAGGCCTTGTGCCTTATAAGGAGGGCATGATTAATTTCTTTGCTTTTGATTCTCTGAGTTTGTTTTCTTTTCCACGAGTCTGGGCTCTATGATGCTTCTGCTGGTATGAGCCCCTAGCAGCAGAAGAAAGACTGCACCTCCTGGGAGGACGCTGATTTCAGGGGCAGCACCGTTGTTTTCTAGCACCTTGAAGAATATCAGACTCTTCCCAGTGGACACCGCTAGGCTGTAGGTTATTCAGTTTCAGAATTATAGATGGATGTGATTATGTGTTCCTGTTACAAAAATACCTTAAGTGAAGGTAGAAAGCACAACTTATTTTTAATCAGATGAGTTTCCTTTTCCATTTTCATTTTGTTTAAAATTAAGTAGTCATTTGGCTACAGTACAAGTATCACATTTTTATTTATTTGCTTCTTTCTGGCAGCAAACAAGTAAAACTAGACTTCAGAATTTAGGGCCAGGGCTTGACAACTCAGATGATCTGGACAGGAGATGAGCTCTGTAACAGCAAAAAGGCACTTCTCTTTTTATTTTTCTTTTTGAGTGCAATTTGGATAGTGGTTAGGGATCCTATCCAGATCAGAGAGAGAGAGAGAGATGGATGGGAGGAAAGAAAGGGAAGAAAAGTGAGAAGGAGAGACCAAACCAGGCAGCTCCCATGATTTTTTCTGTCTTTAAAAGCTAATGTCCGTGGTAACAGAAAGGCTGTCTAATGTCTCTTTCGTATGTTTCTTGCTCCCAGAGCCATATTTAAATGGCCAACCCAGTGCCCTGCATATAATGTGAACTCTGCAAATGGTTGAAATAAGATAAAGAAACTGGATATACACACTCAAGCCAGAATTATGGTTTTCCTTGAGAGATAATTTAGAACATTGAGTATTGCAAATAATGGAAGCAAGGAACTGGGAAAAGCTTTAGAAATTGTAGAGTTTAGTTTTTCCCAATCTTTTCATTATAAGTACAATTTTTTAAACATTAAAATGTAGATCTCATCCAATGGTTGCTGAACATCTAATGTATTCTGAAAGTTGAATTATTTTATTATTATTGGTAGTTTAAAGCCAAAGAATTTAGGAAGTGTTGAAAAGTGGCCAGCCTCTCTCTCCTGTCCTCACCCAGTGTGTGTTCACTTCTCCAGAAGGACCTACAACCTCACCTTGAGTTAGCCTTGGGAGACAAAGATGATGCAACTCTCTACCTACTAGATTTCAAGCCTTCCTTCTGACTTAATTTCCATTTTCCTTTTCTTATATTCTTAGAGAGGGGACAATTCTCTGTGACATCTTTCCAATGGTAGCTATTGCCACTTGGAATTGAGCAGGATTGGTGGCACTTGAAAGGCGTTCCTTGCAGACTTTGCCTTTTGGTCCTGCCACTTAGGCATGACCTGAAGGCTCACACTGTTTTTTCTTTTCTTTTCTTTCTTTTTTTTTTTTTTTGATTAGCATTTGGTAATTAAATTTGCCGTAAAGATACACAGCAAATGAAGGTAAGCAAGATCAAGAGAAAACATTGTAGGGAGATGTTGATAAATAATAGAGAGGTTTGAGTTTTAGTCTGTTCTGTCAATCTGCTAGTTTTCCCGAATGCTGGATCTGTAGGCTTCTGACGTTTGTATCTCGTGATTTATATATTGATGTTAGTCATTAGTTATCCCTTGTGTAAAGAAGCTCCCACCACTGTTAATGAACACACATTCCTCTACCTGGAAATTGTTTTCTCTCAATCATGCTTTTGTCCTCTTAACAGGTTCTGGCTTCTTCATGCATTTCAACAGTAGCTCTGTGAATGTGGGGGCCACAGCAGTGCTGGAAAGTAGAGTGCTGTACCCTAAAAGAGGGTTCCAGTGCTTGCAGTTTTATGTATACAACAGTGGAAGTGAAAGTGACCAACTGAACATCTACATCAGGGAGTATTCTGCAGACAGTGTGAATAGTAGTTTAACTTTGGTGGAAGAGATAAAAGGTACAGTATCAATAGCCTTATTGTTTAGGTTCAAAGTGATGAAATTTTAGCTCTGAATGTACCAATTTATACCCTGGGGCAGGAGCTACTGGCTCACTGTTTTTCAATTTAGACCTTGATCCTGCTTATTTTATAGCAAGGAAGCTGAAGTGAGGATCTTTTGTGTGAACTGTATAACGTGACACTCAAGAAACTGGAGGTCAGTCTCTGGCACTGTGGAGGTCAGTTCTTGGCAAGTAATAAAAATGCCGTGTGCACTGGCCTAGGCAACATGGGAAGGGTTATGGTTCAAGGTTAGCTGTAACCTGTGGGACAGATGAGGGAGGAAGTGGCTTCAGGAAAGTGGCTTCAGGGAGGACTCAATTTGTTCCTGAACATTGTTGGAGACCCCTCATTTTGTCTCAGAAGGGCTTTGTCCCTAAGACTGGTATGTTGGCTATTTTACTTCCTAGCTTACTTCTTACCAAATGCGCCATCAGAACGGAAAAGGGATTCTATTTCTAATGTCCAGCTTAAACAATAAATCCCAGTTAAGGACTCTGAGCCTTATGACTTGGGTGAAGTGCAACTTCTGGAGTGATTTGTGAGTGGGTGCCCACCTTTCACATCAATCATGTGTCAGACAGGAGGGCCATGTTCACTATCTATTCAAGCAGATGGTTAAGAAGGTTCCCTGAGGAAGGCAGAGGCTGTGGGCTGGTAAATACATTGTAGTCAGCTCCACATATTTGTCTCTCGGTTTGAAGGGATTGAGTAAAATCGATTATAAAATGGATTGATATTATGCCATTTTCTTCCTCTGTTTGACAGTGAGGAACAATCTGAAATACAGATAATATTTTTCCATGAACATTTATGAAGAATGATGTGCTTTCTAATTTTTTAAATTTTATTTCATTTTATTTGATTGAGATAGAGTCTCACTTTGTTGCCCTCAGTAGAGTGCTGTGGCTTCATAGCTCACAGCAACTTCAAATTCTTGGGCTCAAATGATTCTCTTACCTCAGCTTCCTAAGTAGCTGGGACTATAATGCCCAGCTATTTTTAGAGACCAAGTCTCATTCTAGCTCAGGCTGGTCTTGAACTTCTGAGCTCAGGCAATCCACTCGCTTTGGCCTCCCAGAGTGCTAGGATTATAGGTATGAACCACCACACCTGGCCAACAGTGAGATTCTTTATCTTACTACGAATATATACACATTATATATGTAATTATACAAAATATAATTCTATATATACATATATGTATAATTCTATATGCATACATATCTAATAATATAGTATTATATATAATGATATATATTAAATTTACATATGATAATATATGATCTATATACATTACACATATGTATATAATAATATATATTACACATTTCATATATATAAGAGCCTTATATATGTCTCATATATAAACCATATATGTTAACACAAATAAAAATACAGGTATTAATATAATGCACATTATATTAATATAATATACATGTAATTTATATGCAATTGTCCAGGCCTGGGAGAGGGATCCTTTCCATTATCAATCTGTGGATGTATCATTGATAGACAATAAGAAGCTTGCCTAGGAGCCCAGAATTTAAACTGATAATACCTATAATAATGAATTAGAAGCTCTCATGAAAGGCTTTTGTTCAGTCTAGCGTCCATCCATCAACAACAGTATTTTCTGTAATTTAGATATTTTAATTTATTTTCAAGCAGCTATGTTTCGTATTAAGTACCAAAATATTTATATTTTAAATTATTGTGTCAACTACTAGTTTGACCTGAAGTCCTCAACTGTTGTCTATCTGGTGGCTTATGAAGATTTTTTAGTATACTGCTTATTTGAATAGATGATAAAAGAAAATAAGACAGAATGGCACACTATGTGCAGCTAGCTTGGGATATGGGATAATAGTTGAGGATGGAGTACAGGCTGGGGAGAAAAGAGGGACCCAAACATCAGAGTAGAGTCCTCGTACATGACCTAAGGAGTAAACGTGGCATGTGAGCTTTCTAGAATTTGGTGGATTCTGGTTTAATACTGCCAAAAACTTGACTGAAAATTTTGCATGTGAGGGAATTATTCCAAACTATAAATATATTAAAGAAAGTTTTGCTTGAGTATCACAAGAATCTTGGTTACATGTGTTAGAATATGGGGCTTGCTTGACTGTTTAGCCAATATGGAATGGCAGGTAACTCAGGAGGCTGACACAGGAGGATCCATTGAGCTACAAGTTTGAGGCTGCAGTTTGAGGTCATGCTCTGGCCTGAGTGAAAGAGCAAGACACTGTCTCTTTAAAAAAAAAAAAAGGCAGGTAACTCAGAAGTAGCACAGGGAGTGCTTAAGAGTTAAATGTTATTTGCTTACCTATCACTAGCAAAGGTTGAACTATTTGAGAACAGTTAGATAAACATTCAAATAACAGTTGAACCCCCCAGAGACACCTGGCTGGAGGTGTGAGAATTCCATATCTCTGACCTGTAGGAACGAGTAGCTCTTGGATGATCATGTGGCTGTGAACCTTAGCACTCTCATGTTGATTTGCATAAACTCATAGTCCTTTGCCTTCTTTGAAATAATAATAACTCTTTTTGCAGGAATACCCAGTGGGAACTGGCAACTTTACTATGTTACACTGAAAGTGACCAACAAGTTTAGAGTTGTGTTTGAAGGACGCAGAGGCTCTGGTGCATCGTTGGGTGGTCTGTCCATTGATGACATCAATCTTTCGGAAACACAGTGCCCTCATCATGTCTGGCATATAAGGAATTTCACACAGTTCATTGAGAGCCCAAATGCAACTCTGTATAGCCCTCCATTTTATTCTTCTAAAGGTTATGCCTTTCAGATTCACTTGGATCTAAGCCAGTTGACTAATGTGGGCATATATTTCCACTTGATCTCTGGAGCCAATGATGATCAATTACAGTGGCCGTGTCCTTGGCAACAAGCCACAATGACACTCTTGGATCAAAATCCTGACATTCGACAGCGTATGTCCAACCAGCGGAGTATAACCACAGACCCATTCATGACCACCGGTTTGTGACTCGTTTTCTTTATTGCTAATAGAGGATCATAACTCTAGGAGGGACAGATGGTTTGGGGAACAAGAGATTGTACAGTTTCCACGGGAATTGTGAGCCCCCAAATCTTAAGAACAGGAACTTAAGGGAAAGATTCAACAGTCATGAACAGAGTCCCAGACATGAACCATGTCAACAAGGACTCCAAGAAATAGAGGGTGTTTATTGTCTGTATTCCTGGGAATTGATAATCATCCACAATTTTCCACTTTTGTGCGAGGAGTGTTGGTTTTAGAGTCTGACATACCTGGGTTCAGATTCAAGGTTTCACATTAGCTGTGACCTTGAGCACATCATGTCTTGGAGCTCCAAGCTGTAATAACCATTCCACAGATTTGTTATGAGGATTAATACAGGTCAAGTGTGGAAGCTCGGAGAAGGGCCTTCTCTGGAGAGGCCCTCAGGTGTTGAGTTTTCCTAACCCGTGCTTCCTTGGTTAAACCCCTGGGACTGTGGAAAAAATGGGGTAGTTTTTGAACAGAAGGAAGATGTTGGTCAGATGCACTGGAGTGTGGGTGGAAAGGCTGTAGGAATGGGTTGTAAGTTCTTATTGAAAATTCTGGAGCACTTGCTAATGGTGACATCATTCCCTGTCTTTCCAGTCTCACCACGAAGCAGCACACAGAAAGTGATGTTTACACTTCTAGTTTTAATATTCCTTTACCTCTGGGACCCTAACACAAGAAAGAATGGAACTGTAGCAAGCTGAATATTATTGCCCAGTCTGAATTCTATAATATGAAAAAGATGGATCAAAGTGATATAGGAAAAAAAATAAACTTAATCTGATAGGAAAAAGATAATATGCATCAGTGGAATCATAGGAACTTGAGATTGAGAATTTCTTTGCTTTTTTCCCAAAATCTTTCTCCCAGAATGACATTAAAAATGGTGCAGAGTTGGGTGGGCCATTGCCTTTTCCCAGAAGCAGTGCTCCTTGCTGTCTTCTCCTGAAGGATTTTGCTCTGTTAGGTGGATAATTCAGTTAATGAGATGAGTTGTTTTATGCTGATATTAAAATCTCTCTCCATAGCACATTGGTTGAATTTGGTTAAATGGACTGTTTTTAACTCAGAAGGTCAGGTTTCTATGCATTTACTGGTCAATATGTGCAGGTGTGACATGCCCACCGAGGAAACTTCTGGTACCTTTCCACTCATAGTCCAGAATGTGGTCCTCCCTGCCAGGCAATCTCATTTCCTTTAGGGCAGTATAAATGAGCAAGCACCAGTGATTTGCCAGGGAATACATCACAGGTCAATGGCATCATTTAATTATTTTGAGCTCCATCCTAATTGTGTTTCACATTGCCTGCTCTTTCCTACCACCAAAAGCTATGATGAAGCTAAACACAATCCATTAATATAAATTGCTTTTTCAGATAATGGAAACTATTTTTGGGACAGGCCTTCCAAAGTAGGAGAAGTGGCTCTTTTCCCTAATGGAACCGAGTTTAGAAGAAATAGAGGCTATGGAACCAGTGCCTTTATAACCCACGAAAGGCTGAAAAGCAGAGATTTTATAAAAGGAAATGATGTTTTTATTCTCCTGACAGTGGAAGGTATGTCAGTAAAAATACCGTTTTATATCAGCTGGGGGGGGGTTTGTGCACATTGGTTATTAATTGTGTTTTTTGGGGTTTAGTAATTTCTAAGCATATTATATAGAGATGTGGGAGGACATGAGCATGCGTGGGTTTGGGGGAGTATAAATTATTAACGATATGAAAATAATTTATTAATAATTTCAAACAGTGAGGATTGTAGGATAAAGAATTCAATTACCATCACATGATAAAATAGTGCAAACCTTGAGTCTGGAAACCTTTTCTAGAAATAAATTAAAGTATAGCTATTACACCTTAGCATTATATTTGAGAGCTCCAGAAATAAAAATATCATGTAAGCACCCGAAATGCATATATAGACATACATATATGCCCATGTTTACATGCAAACACACACACGCACACACATATATCTTGTCAATAATAACACAAACCTATTGTCTTTGAAAATTTCTTACCCTTGACAGCCAATAAATACCTTTTCTAGCAATTCTGGTGGTTTCTATGTTTCATGTGGTAGAATAACTCATTTTCTATTAAAGACTCAGTTGCATCTCAGTAAATCAGGATTCTGTTTTTGATGAAGGGTGGTGCACTTAAAACCCACAAAATTCTGACTCCAATGTCCATTAGAATGAATCTAGATGATGCTTCTTGGAAAAAATTATTCAGGAATACCTTTTGTCAAGAGAGAAAACATTTTAAGTAGCAAAGAAAAAGTCATACATTCTTCAATTCTCATGGACCCTATTTGGACCACATGCGACAAAAAATGCTGCGAAGAACAGAACACTGGTTTTCTGGTGTCTTCCCCCAAATGTCCACCAACTTGCTCCACCACGCAAGAGAATTATGACCTTGAACAAAGCTCTCAGTAGCTTTGCGTTTCTGCGCTTTGATTTTTCTTATCTGTCCTTGAGGGTTGGTGGCGATGATTTGTAGCCTTTTGAGCTCCCCTAGCTGAGGCAAGCGTGAGATTAAGTTGTAGCCTCAGCAGGCCAGCCCAGTTTCCTTTGCTCATTTCCTATTTCATTGCCTCTGAACATTACTGGACTGTGCTTCAAGGGTACCCGAATTTCTCACGAGCCTAAAAACTGAACATAGTTTATTTTGAAACCTAAAGATCAAATGATTGTTAGAGCAAAAGCTGATTTTCATCTACACTCTCCCCTATCTTCCTAGACATATCACACCTCAATTCTACACAAGTCCAGCCAATGCCAACAACTCCTAGACCACCAATGCCACCAACTCCTAGCCAGTCAATCCCAACAACTCCTAGACCACCAATGCCAACACCTGCAACTATTAGACCATCAATGCCAACAACTGCTAGCGTCGAAGACCTCTGCTCACAAATCCGCTGTGAGAATGATGGCATCTGTGCTGTTCGAGATGACAAAGCTGAATGCAGGTAAGGGTTCCTTGAAAGAGACCCTCCTCATTCTTTTATTAGAAATTTTATTCCCATAGTGTAGGATTAAGTACCGATAGATCATATGAATGAAATACATCAATTCTCATCTCCAATCCATTCACAGAATGTTTTGTTTGTTTGTTTGTTTTGCTTTCATTTCTGACTTTGGATAGTCACAAGAACAATACAATTATTTAGGGAAAAATAGCGCAATACTGTCTAATTGTCTGGAAATGTCCTCACAAGTTACTTATCTTACTGAATCCCTACAACAGTCTGGTGCTTTAGAGTGGCTGTTTCCATTTTCTAGATGAAGGTATTGACATTCTGAGGAGCCTTGGGCCAAAGTCTAGAGCTGAAAGGTGGGACACTGAGAACTGACCCTTTCTGCTACCTTGGCTACCTGCCTTTCTTACTGGGGAGCTGCTGTTTCAGTCTCAGATTAGCACTAATGCCATTTCTTCTTTTCATGATCTTATCCAGAGGGGGTAAATGAGTCCCAGGTGTCAATGACCCATTGGTGATCAAATAGACTACAGATGGCACCTTTGACGGTCAGGATTTCCAGATGTTAACTCATAACTGTTTGTGATACGCAGGTGCCAGGCAGGGGAAGACTGGTGGTACATGGGAGAAAGGTGTGAAAAGAGGGGCTCCACCCGTGACACCATCGTCATTGCCGCTTCTTCCACTGCTGCTGTGTTCGCTGCGATGCTGATTGTCACCCTTGTTAGTGTCTATTGTACCAAGAAGAAATATCGTAAAAGGACAAGTTCAAAAACAGAAGCTGTGACTCTGGAAAACGTAAGTTGAAGCTGATATTTGGTTGTTCAAAACCTGTTGATGAAATAATCTAGAGAAGAATTACTGAAGAAACTCGGTGATGCACCAAGTTTCACGTGCTGATTCGTATTTCTATTCACAAAAGAGCACAAAGAGAGTGGCATAACATTTGAACATTACTTAAAAGTGAAGCTTTGAAATTCTTCCAATTCTATTTCACTTAAATTAGAGTCTCTGAAATTGTTACTGAAAACTAATTTAAAAAATACCCAACTTGAAAATAAAACTACTGCAATTTGCTAAAGCAAGAGTGTATTTTCTTCAGAAAAATGTTTATCCAAGATACGCTACATTTTAAGGTTACAATTTTTTGTTTAAGTGGATAACCCTGGTATCAAGATATAAATACTTTGGTGGTGCCCGTAGCTCAGTGGGTAGGGTGCTGGTCACATACACTGAGGATGGTGGCTTCTAAGTCAGCCTGGGCCTGCCAAACAAAAATGACAACTGCAACAAAAAGAAAGCCGGGCATTGTGGCAGGTGCCTGTAGTCCCAGCTACCTGGGAGGCTGAGGCAGGAGAATCACTTAAGTCCCAAGAACATGAGGTTGCTGAGAGCTGTGATGCCATGGCACTCTACCAATGGCTACATAGTGAGACTCTGTCTCAAAAAAAAGAAAAAATATATATATTTATACACACACACATATATATATATACTTTTTTTGTAAAGTCAGTGAAAAGATGAACAATGGGGTCAGGCACGAAAGCCTATACCTGTAATCCCAGCACTTTGGGAGGCTAAGGTGGAGGGATTGCTTGAGGCCAGGAGTTTGAGACCAGCCTGAGCAATATTGCAAGACCTCACATCTCTACAAAAAAATTTAAAAAATTAGTTGAATCTGTTGGCCTGTGCCTGTAGTTCTGGCTTGTTGAGAGGCTGAAGTAGAAAGATTTCTTGCACCCAGGAGTTTTTAGGCTACAGTGAGCTATGATCATACTACCACACTCCAGCCTGAACAACAGAATGGTTCCCTGTCTTTAAAAAAAAAAGAAAAAGAAAACCAGATGGACAGTGATAATGAACAGAGAACAAATAGTTTTAGTCTCACATACTATTATCCCATTTCCTCCACATCAGGAAGATGTCTGTGGCTAATCATAAGGCAATAGGTTAATTATTTCACAAACTTCTTAGGAAAATACTTAAAATGTAAACAAGTTGTTTTGTTTTTTTAAACAGTTCTTTCCAGTTTATGACTCGTAATAAAAGGGATGGATGGGAACATGGAGGGCCTGGTGGACCAACCTGATGGCAGGGGCACCTGTGAGAATTGGAACCTGGGCCAGCAGGGTGGAGCCAGGCGCTGGGGTAGGGAAGATACTAGAGTGGACAGTCAGGGAAGGATCAGGTGCTGGGTGTCTGGGACCACCAGGATGGTCCCCTGGCAAGGGGACAAGGTAAGAGCTATCATATGGGCTCTGACTTTGCAAGTAAAAATTGGACGAAGTCAGAGGAAAATGATAAAAACAAAGAGAAGAGAAAGAAGGTAGCTAAATGTGTAAGGGGCAGATACTGTCAGTGTTAAATGGAAACAGACACACAACAAACCCCTTCTCCCCAAAGTATTATAAAAGAATTATTTTGCCTCTGGATGGCTTAAACACATCCTCAAGGGCAAGGGCATCAATCTGTATTTTCCTTAGTCTGAGCGTTTCTACAGTTAATTCACTAACAGATCCTCCAGATCCAGTTCAAATCCTTTTTTTTTTTTTTAACGGTTGCCCTTGGACCTGGGTAGAGTGCCCTGGTATCTTAGCTCACAGCAACCTCAAACTCTTGGGCTCAAGTGATCCTCTTGCCTCAGCCTCCTGAATAGCTGGGACTACAGGCACCCACCACAGTGTCTGACTAGTTTTTTCTATTTTTAGTAGAGATGGGGTCTTGCTGTTGCTCAGGCTGGTCTCCAGCTCCTGAGCTCACCAATCCACTGGTCTGGTCCTCCCAGAGTCCTAAGATTACAGATGTGAACCACTGTGCCTGACCCTACTTCAAAAAATCATACTGATCTTTCTGAAGCAGAAATGTGTGTTCATCCTAATGTTTTGGCATCTGAGTAAGGTGATTGGGATCTCTAACTCCAGCAGGAGCCACTTGGCAGCAGGGAAGGGGCCAGGGCAATGCTGATGGGGATTTCATTTCAAAACTAGGCCATTTCATTGTGATTCATTTACATGACAGTTTTTAAATTTAGAAATTAAGTCATTAATTGTTCTTTCCCCTTTTAGCGCGATGCTCTTTGAAGATTAACTGGACACTACAGCCAGCAAATGAAATGAAAAAGGATTCTTCATCATGGATTTCACCTAAGCGATATTACAAACCACCTCATTCTTCTAAAAATGGATCTTTTGAGGCTGGATGCGGCTGAGGAGGGTGGATTGCCTGAGCTCAGGAGTTCAGGACCAACCTGAGCAACAGCGAGACCCCATCTCTAGAAATAGCCAGGTGTTATGGCGGGTGCCTATAGTCCCAGTTAATTGGGAGGGTGAGGCAAGAGGATCACTTGTGCCCAAGAGTTTGAAGTTGCTGTGAGCTATGATGCCACAGCACTCTACTAAGGGTGAGAAAGTGAGACTCTGTCTCTAAAATAAAAATAAATATAAATAAAAATGGACCTTTTCTGTAAATAGCTGAATGTACTATAAATCCTTATTTTGGTAAAAGTCAAATTGGTGAAATTTTCTTCTTCCCTCCCTCCGTCCCTCCCTTTCTTCCTTCCTTTCTTCTTTAGGGGAAGAAGCAATCCAGGTTCCTCTATAGAATATTGTCTATAAAAGGGAGAGCAACAACTAGAGATAGTTTTTCAAATCACTGATCCTTCTATTATGGGGGTCAAGTTCAGCTAGATTCCCCCCAAACCCGCTAGAGACACTCAATAGTACTCCACCTGGAATCTCTAAGTCCCAGCACTGTGCCGTCTTGATGGAGGGAAGGGCAGTGGGACAGCTCCCCCCCTCAGTTATGTCTTTCTCCAAAACCAACTACTCTCTCTTTGTCTTATATAATCCCTTTGGCACGTGAGCTTGGCTTAGAATTTGTCTGAGCATATAACTACAGTCAACAAGAAAACTGTTAACTCCTTAAGCAGCAGTTTTCAATATTTTGGGTCTCTTTTGATGCACAATCTTAGGAAGTGAACAAAAATTTAAAAATGTTTGGGTCACAGGAGACTTTACATTTTTAAAAATTACTAAGGAGGGCAGCGCCTGTGGCTCAAAGGAGTAGAAAGCAGGCCCCATATGCCGGAGGTGGAAAGTTCAAACCCAGCCCCAGCCAAAAACTTCAAAAAAAAAAGTGTATCTATCTATATCTATATCTATATATATTACTAAGGACTCCAAAGAGTTTTTGCTTATAAGCATTTTATTGATCAGTATTTACCTCATTAGAAATTCAAACCAGGAAAACTTAAAAGTACATATTCAGTAATCACTAAAAATAATAAGCACCTTACATGTTAATAGAAATATTATAATGAAAAATAACTATATTTTCCACAAAAAGAAAGTTTAGCAAAAAGGGGGGGCATCGATTTAAATTTCTTGCAAATTTCTAATGTCTACCCTAATAGAAGACACATACATGATTCTTCATACATGCGTCTGCATTCAATCTTTTGTGATATATTGGTTTGGTTGAAGGATATGAATGAAATCTAACCTCTGCAGATATACGGGGTGGCCATAAAGTTCATGTACAATTTAAAATAAGGTGCAATTTACAATTGTACATGAACTTTATGGCCACCTTGAATAACTGGAAAAGGAAGACATATATGGATAGTTTTTTCAAGTAAGTGTTGATATTCTTTCTTAATACTTTGTTAAAAGTTGACAGATACTCGTTTCTTAAGTTACTACTGGAATCTGAACCTATAACCATGAACTTTTGTACTCTGTCCAGTAAAATCCATTGGTCCACCTTGTATTTTGAGTAGGTCTTTCAGCTATGTGTGATTTTGTAATATTGTGCATTGATCATTTAGAAAATGCTGACTCACTGAGTTATACAGCTCTTATAACTCTTTATACATTTCATTATACATTGCCAAAATAACATTAGTTAATAGCACTACTAATCTCATCTAAAGAGTCTCTAAGTTGGCTCGCGCCTGTAGCTCAGAGACTGGGGGGCTGGCCACATACGCTGGAGCTGATGAGTTTGAACCCTACGGGGCCTGCCTAACAACAATGACAACTACAACAACAAAAAAGAAACTAGTTGGGCATTGTGGTAAGCACCTGTAGTCCCAGCTACTTGGGAGGCTGAGGCAAGAGAATCGCTTAAGACCAGGTGTTTGAGGTTGCTGTGAGCTGTGATGCTAAGGCACTCTGTTGAGGGTAACATAGTGAGAATCTGTCTCAAAAAAATAACAAAAATAAATTGAGAAAAAAAGTCTTTAAGTCCTGGGAAATTGTTTTGCTCATAGTGGCAGAAAGAAATCTTCTCAAATTTTAGTTGTTGCTTGAAAGCTTAGATGTTGTTATTGGCCACAAATACTGTCTTCCTTGTTGCAATAGACTATTAAATTTTTTAATTCAGATTTTATTTTGATATAATTATAGATTCACATGCAGTTATAAGAAATAACACTGAGAGAGGTTGTGTTCCCTCTATTCAGTTTCTCCCAATGGTAACATCTTGCAAAACTATGAATGGTACAATAAAGATATTGATACTGTCAATATACTGAGGATTTCCATCACCACAAGAATCCCTCAAGTTGTCTTATATGTGTAAATCCACATCCATTTTTCCCCTTTCCCCATATCCTGTTTATCTGTTTATCCCCTGACAACCATTAATATGTTCTCTATTTTTATAATTTTGTTATTTTAAAAAATGTTCTAATAGAATGATATAGTATGAGACATTTTAAATCAGCTTCTCCCACACCTTAGCATAATTACTTGTAGATTCATCCAGGCTCTTGTATTCAGTATTTTGTTCTTTTTTATTGGTAAATAGTAGTCCATGGTATGGATGTACCAAAGTTTGGTTAGTCATTCATTGGTTGAAGGATATTTGGGTCATTACTAGTTTTTTGGTTATTACAAATAAAGCTGATATAAATGTTTGAGTAATAAATTTGTGTGGATGTAAGTGTTTATTTCTCTGGGATATTGCATGTTATGTTTTTTTAAAAACTGCCAAAATGATATGCAGAGTGGCTATACTATTTTACATTCCCACCAGCAATATACGTGTGATCCAGTTTCTCTGCATCCTTGCTAACTTTTGGTATTGTCACTATTTTTTTAATAGATTGTATTTTTTAGAGCAGTTTTAGATTCACAACAAAATTGAGTGGAAGGTACATATATCTTAGTCCTCACATATATACAGCCTCCTCCACTACCAACATTCTGCATCACAGGAGTACATTTGTTACAATCAGTGAACCTACGTTGACACGTCATTATCACCCAGAGCCCGTCATTTACATTAGGTTCACTCTTGGTGGTGCTGTACATTCTACAGGAGTTTTCTTGGTTTTGTTTTTGCTTTTTTTGAATCAGAGTGTCACTCTATTGTTCAAGCTAGAGTGTTGTGGCATCAGCCTAGCTCACAGCAAGCCCAAACTCCTAGATTGAAGCAATCGTCTGGCCTCAGCCTCTCAACTAGCTGGGACTACAAGGGCCCATCACAATGCTGGTGAATTTTTCTTACATTGCTCAGGCTGGTCTTGAACTCCTGAACTCAAGCAATCCTCCCACCTTGGCCTCCCAAAGAGTTAGAAAGACAAATGTGAGCCACTGCACCCACCCCATTCTATAGGTTTTGACAAATGTATAATTGTTGGGGTTCCCATGGACCCCAACCTAGGACAGGGGTCAGCAAGGGAGACAGTGCTGGGGAAATGAAGAAACTTTATACCAATTTTTTTTTTTTTTTTATTGAATGGTAACTGTGT